TGCCGGGAGCCGGAGGAGGGGCCGCGCGTCGGGCCCGGCCGCCCTGACCGACGCTGGTAAATACTGACGCTTCATCTTTGCTCTTGACGCGCGTCCTTGGGGCCGCCCGCAGCGACGTCCGGGAGTGCCACAGCGCTGGGCACCACCCGGCCGAGGCCCTCCAGCCCGGGGCGTCGGCACCCGCCACGCTGGGGCCCGCCGGCGCCTCAGAAAAGACCCTTCTCCCCCGCAGAGCTTTGTGCTGACTCGGGCCTCAAGCCCCAGGGCCTTCGTAGCGCCCAGACAGCAGCCCCAGCCTGGCTGGGCAGATGAGGTGGGCTCACCCGGCTGGGGTGCGCCCTCGCCCGCTGGCGGCCACGCCCAGGTACGCGCCGGCGGGGTCCCTGGGAGGAGACGCCGTGCGGAGAGGCTGCGGGGTGGCTCCTGCGGGCAGGAGCGCGGCCTCGGCCATTCCGGGGTCAGCCGAGCCCACCGAGCTGAGGGGGGCAGCTGGACGCCTGGATGCTGTGGGCCTGGAGCAATACGCCCCAAATGTCATGGTTTATCACCAGAACTCAGGCGTCAGGACTTGCTGACAGGATGATGGGGTGAGTAGGTGGACTTGGGGGCGGGGGCCCCCCAAGGTGTAGCTCGTGACTGTTCACAGCGCCTGCTCCGTTGGGCTTAGAGCCGCCTGGCCCCTGCGGCAGCGGGACCGGTCACCTTCAGCGAGCCTGGCAGCCCGAGGGCCCTCTGCCCGCCAAGCCGCGGCTGCCCCGAGGGAACTCGGGGAGCCGGGCGGTGCGCTGGGGGCGTGGCCGGTGTCCAGGCGCTGCCCCGCGCTGGCCCGTGGGCGCCCTCGTGTGCCCCCAGGAGCGGGCGCGCTCCCTCAGAGTGCTCAGGTTCCTGGGACGGGGACCCAGAGTTCCCGCCAAGGGGGTCTGGGCGGGGCCTTGACCCGCCAGCTGTCCCCGCGAGGCTGCAGCACTGGCCAGTGCGGCACGGGGTTGCGCGGTGGCAGCGCCTGGCAGGGTCTGCAGGG